AACGTAAAACGTATGCGTAAGAAAATCGACCAATCCCAATCAAGTATTGCGCTGTCCGTAACTCCAGTAGGGGAAAATACTTGATTGGGATTGATCGATTTTCTTACGCTTACGTTTTACGTCCTTACGGCATTTTATGTGTGAAGGCCTTTAACCGTCGGTTAACTACAATCTAGTTTTTTCTTACGTCCAGTGGCTACAGATGGGAGCCAGGAGCCACTGGTAGCTCTATAATAACTAGAAGATCCGGAAAATCGCAGCGACAGCGACAGCACCTGCGTAATATTGCACTAGTGTGAGTGGTGTGCTTGTACCATTTTATTTGTATACATTTTTTAATCGCGACAAGTGCCGCAGCATGACGTTCCTTTGAAAGCGTTCGAGGTGAGCTGTAGTAAGCGTATTTAACGCGAGAATCGAAGTCACCCTGGGAAAAATTTACATTCTGCGTGCGTTTTAAAGAATTACGTACGCGTCCCCAGGTACGACATACATACATATGTTTGTGATTCCGTAATATTTTCACCGATATTTTGGCCCACTTAATATTGCTCAATTCGCAGTCGTTCTTACTCATAAACGTAGCCGTTCTCTCGTTGAACTTTATGAGCCATTTTCAAATTTTTCAGATATTAACAACATGACAGCGGTATATCCGACTTTGCCGAAACTGGCGGTGAGAGACAGCCTCGACGACGACGACCTCACCGACATCGACGACGAGGTGTTCATCAGGGATGGGAGAAACGGTGGATTGAAGTTGGATGATGACGGAGTGAAGCGGCCCTTGATGGCACCTCGTAGAAAATCCAAAAAATCTTGCAGCTTCCAGAGTCATAAGGTCCCATACAAGGCGTTCCTTGTGCCGTTATGCTACGGAATTACAGCCTTGATCATAGTGTTAGGCTTAATTGTACTTTGTATATTTACCGCAAATATATTCCCGATGCCGTTAACTATATTGAAAAGCTGGCTGTCGCCCGAGCTGAAAGAGCCTGCGAATGAATCTGAGATAATTCCGTGTACGTCACTGTCGTCCAAGGTTTTATGGACCAGATCGTTGCCAAAGTTAATACCTGAGGCACCTCTTAGGAGCAACGATGTTAACTCTGATGGAATTGAGGATATTATTGTGGGATTTAGCACAGGTATAAAAGCATCACGTTTAACCCGAATAAATGGATGTTTTGTATTATTATTTTAATATTTTAATATTTTCTGCTTTCTTTTTTGTATATAATATAGTTTGCCATTGCACCCCATAGTGCATTGTGATTTACAATTAGCTACTTTTATTTTGTTTGCTTCTTTTACAGATTTTGTCTTGCTTCATTTTGTCTTGCTTCGTTTACACGATGTTTCTTAACAGTCTAAGGTGAATAATTGATGAATAAATTATTTTATGATTAAATCATTAGTTTAATCAATCAGTATAACAGTTATTGATTTACAAATTCAGGTCTGGATACAATGGATACGAAATATATCTGTACTATATATTTTGGGAGACAAACGCCATGTCTAGGCGGTGTACTGGCGCTGAACGGTAAAACGGGCGAAACCATCTGGACACATTGGACTGCCCATTCGATATTTTCCGTTGACTGTGGCGCAGACTTGACAAACGACAAGATTAAGGATTGCGTCATATCTGGACGCGGTGGAGTGCAAGCTATTAACGGCCGTGACGGTTCCAACATATGGGATATACCACTTCAAGATTCAGCTTCAGAGCTGCAAATAACTTTGGACGTTTACGATGCTAGATTTACAGCGGATATGGACGGCGACGGTACTGGCGACGTAATAGCGTCGCATGCCGTCCAATCGGACAACATTCAAGCGAGCAACATACTCGTGATATCGGGTAGAAGTGGTAATGTCATACGCAACATTGATTTACCGGATACGGAACAGCTGTTCGTAGCCCCGCAAATTATAGTGCATCCTGACGGAGAAAATATATTTGTTCTGGCTACAACCAGTCAACAAGATGCCGGCGGATTATATATAGTGTCCCAAGCTAATATATTTTACGGTGATTTGGTATGTAATATAAAAAAATCTGTCAAGTGTTTCAATGTGAAAGAATTATCACGTTAATTAATACTTTGAATGCTTTTGTTGCAGCAATTACGAAAGCTTAATCATAACACCGGCAAAAATGCACTGTTGCCACCGATCCTAATTGATATTACGTCGGATGGAATTGAAGATATTGTCGCCGCTATGTTCAATTCTACGATTGTGGCATACAACGGATCCACGTTTGAACCTATCTGGAATTATACAGTCCCCAATTCCGAAGTAATCAGCATTCCCATTCCCGGTTATTATAACGACGACGATATACCGGACTTTATGGTGAAGCATCAGATAGGTACTGGTTTGGCCACGTACTATTATACCATAGCCACGGTCATAGACGGTCGTAATGGACTGCCTTTGCTCGAAAAACCGATGGAGGATAGCTTGAGCGGGCAAATGTCCGGTTTGTCGGTCACCGTCGACGGATTTGGCAACGACTGGTTTTTGCATTGGTCCACCGACTGTTTAAACTACGAGGGAGTCAAGGAAAAATATCAGTTCTTGAAAGAACAGAGTTTCATGTCGCAAACGCGCGCCGATCCTTGCTTCCTGAGATTCAATTCAACGCTCACTACGAGACTTCTAGCTTTGAGCCAGCACGTCGGTCCGCCCGGAGTGTCGTTGTACTTTTCGGAGGATTGGAAGTCCCTGGAATTCAATAATTCAGTCGATTCACGAAAGGAAGAGGAAAAGTACCTGAACTCCTATTCGGGATTAAAAATCCCGGACACTTACGCAAACATACCGCTCGTTTCCGAGAGATCGCCGGGAGTTCATAAAAACCATCGAAAAGAAAGCATCTTCAAGCATAAAGATAATAATATACTCGAGATCGGCAAATACGACTCGGATGCAATATACGAAAACGTTGACGAATTCAAGAGCCACAAGAAGCACAATCCCGAGGACACCGTAGAGAATTTAGACGTAGATCAAGCATGGAAGCAGGATAACAAATGGATGGATGACGATATGCAGACGGATAAAGAATATGGTAGTATATACGAAAGTGATAATAGTAACAATGAAGACGGACAGCAGAGTGTGGATTATTCGCAAGGTGAAGTGCGAGAGCAGAGGAGCATTATTGTAGCTAAGGATCCATATTCAATAAATATTTCTGACAAAGAACATGGCTCCAAGGAAATTAGCGATTACCCAACACCCGAATCGACGCAACATAATTTGCAGTTGGATCACAAGAATATTAACACAGAGAATAAGAGAGGAATGAAGGAAATCAAGAACAAGAAGAATGGCTCGATGAACAAACCTGATACAATGAATGTATTAATGACGCCAATTTCAAAATCTCAAGAGGAGGTATCGTCAACTATGTCGAGCGATAAATCAAATATGGAAAGGACTACTACAATACGGAGTGCATTAAATACGAGCGGATTAACAGAAGTCAATATTAGTATGGAATATCTGAACGACACACACACCGATGAATCAAATGTTACTAAAAATCAAATGATCACCAATCATCAAGATGAAACTTCCACTACTAAGAAAGTCGTAGACGCGACACAGCGGAGACAGATTTATAAGCATAGTTTTCCCAGCATTATCCAAGACGCGGATGATGACGCTAGTATAGAAAAAATATTTAAACGGGAATCATTGAAAAATCAAAGTAAAGGCAAGATTAACAGAAAGCAATTGCGAATATTGTCGTCGGTAAGTGATAAAGATTTTAAAATAAGACAAAAACGAAAAACGAAACGAGACTCTGGAACCGACAATTCTCGGTCGAGCGGTATCAATGGGATTCAGAAGCAGGCGCCGACTGGTATTCTGTTGCCATCCATTACCGAATCCAAGGGAAGGACTTCGGTGGATTTAGTGTTCTCTACATTCTGGCTACCGTCGTCCGAAGTGTCTCTGATTTTGTCGCAAGCGGATCAGTGCATTCGTAAAAAGAAAGCGTTGTTAGAGAGAGATAATAAATTTGAGTATAAGAAGGACGACGACATCATCAGCGAATGTTTAGCCGAGCGGGGCATTAATTACAGATTGTATCAAGAGTCGAAGGATAGGGAAAATACCAAAATCGCGCTTGGCCAAATGACAATATACAGGATGAAGTTAGAATGCGTATGTCCGGAGGATATGTTACCTAATCAAACGTGCAGAAATATTTCGTCACGTCAGAGCTGGCCAGAATATCTAGGCTCTTTTGGAAACGGCTATTTTAAGCCATTGCGTAGATTAAATGTCTGAAGAAACTGCAAGGTTTTCGTCGAATTATATAAATTATTGAGGAAACTTTCATTGTAACGGTCTTTAATGGATTCGTTAACAGATTAACAGAATTAAAGAATTATCAAATAGTCCCGTGCACTATTTGCAAAAGTATACAGTAACAATCATAATTCTAATATCAATTGTTATATAAAAGCAATTTATATTAATATTTATATGCAGTCTTCTTCGCGAAATAAAAAAGGATGCAAATATATGCGTATTTGTACATATAAGAATACAGTTGCTCTCGCAATTAAAACCTTTAACGTTTAATTTTGAAGAGAATTTCTATAATCACATATCTGTTGATCATTTATGAATAATTAAAAGTTTTTTTCAGAATGCAGTTACGAATGAAGAAGTAACTGTATGTGCCAAAGGTGATTTCAATAACTCTTTATATATACAAATATATTAAAATTTATAACTTACGATCGCATAAAAATGTTAATATAATTAACGTTGAAAGTATACGTTATATCAGTAATAAGTTAAATGTAACGATCCCGCTATCTATATATGAATTAAAATGCTAATCATATATACATATATATATAATATGTTACTACATATTGATATGTAAACATTTAATCACTGTTAAGTGTAACATGAGTATTCTAAGAATATAAAATATATACATTATTGATCATTGCTGACGTTTATTCTTCCTCTTCCTGTACATTTTCGCTGCTATGGTATGCTGTTTGATCAATACTGGATTATTAAACGGTTTATGAGTTTACTTATGTGCGACAGATACTTATGGCTTTTGCAAGAATGGGACCAAGTTGAACGTTTTAAATACAGTATATAATAAGCTGTGCAATTAAGTGCAATGCAAATTATGGCGAAAGGAAACGTGAAACGTCGTAAGATATATATGTCACATAAGTTTAACGGTTAGGCAGTAATTAATAATTTTTTGATGATGCATTAGCGAGCTATACTTGCACTGTATGCAGCAGCAACAATTATTTCAGATTGCCCAAGGCTCAGAAAGCTAATCTGTTTGTAAGTGTTCATTAATTAATAGAGTATACTTAAGATTACAATATAGATGACATGGTTCTTTCTAAATTTATTAATATTTTACATTTCTTCCAGAGAACATTTGAACATCCTGAAGTAAGAGATAACGAGAAGTTTCAAGATTATAAGGATGATCTTTTAAAAAGATATAAGTTATGTGCGTGCAGTTATTCTTTAAATCTTGGGTAAGTCTTTGCTCATACACACACAATACACTGTTTTTTTTTTCCAAGAATGTTTTCTTATTCTCATCAAGTCCTCAAGTCCTGCAATTCAACATATTTTTCTATATATACAGAGACGTTAATTCAGTTAAGAAACTTTAAACTCTTGGATTTACAGAAGAATGGCTGTAGAAGGTAAAACGATCGAAATTATTGGCGGAGATACGTACAGGCATTTTCGAAGATCGATGGTACCTTTTACTACCATACCGAAAGTACAAACCGCGGACATCCCACGCTGTTTGGAGCGCAAGGCTCTAAGCGGAATTCTGCAAACTGTACAAAGACGATGTTACACCGCACTCCCTAAATCAGAGCCCTACAAAAATGCAGAAACCCAGACGGATTACAGAGAGAGCGAGGCGCAAACCGAACCTTGGGAGCCACCATGTAAAATTGTTCCAGGTGACAACGCAATTATATTACAGTATCATATTCGTAGAATAAATCAATTAAGAAATCGGAATAGTGGCAAAGAAAAAGAAAACACACGAGGAAGACACAAAACTGGAGATGCAGAATTCTAGTGGAGATATCCTAATTTTCATTTAGGTCACAATCCTGAAGTGCTGGCGTTAGCTCATCTAACTTGGGAGCATGGACTACCCGCAGGCGTCCATGAGGTGCACCTTATCAACAGGATGCGGATGAAGAAAGCTTGGGAAGCCGTATTACCGCCGATGGATACGCCGGCCAACATAAAGATGCGAGATTCAATAATAACGACCTTGGAGATAGACGAATGGGCATTTCGAGAGTCGGTGAGTTTCAAAATGGAATCTCAGCAAGGAATTAAGAGTCTCAATCATCTTGCCTACAATATCAACATTTCTTCTTTCTTCAATTATGTACCCTGGTGAAAAAATTTCTCATATTTTCTCAGAATTTTCCTAAGAATTTAAACTTACGAAAAATTCTGGAAAAAATACATAAAATTTCTCAGATACTTTCAGAAATAATTGGATGAGGATTTTCGGAATATTTCAGTATCCGTATATGTACATGAAAATTTCTGATAATTTGCGCAGATTTTCTCATATTTATTAAACTTCTACAAAGATGTGTTGGCGGGAAAAATCTGAAATATTTTATTATATTATTTTATCAGAGTTTTTCTGAAAAACGTTCCAAATCGTATAAAAAAGTCTTAAAAATTCTTAGCATTCTCAGAAAGTCTTAAAATTTTTATAGAAATTCTGATTAATAATATGAACAATTCTGAGACATTTTTCTACTAAGATAATAATTTTATAAAAATCTCAGTTGTTTACATAATACCTACACGTAACACCTATGTTTCTTCCTTTCTTTAACTATGTAATAATTTTAGGAGATTCAACTCATAATGGATTTACGTCTGGATCTGATGAGGGACCTCCTGCAGAGTCGTGAGTCGGAATACGAGAAAAAAATGCAGGGTCGTTTCAGTAGGCTCGAGAACAAACTGAGCAAATGTCGGGACAACCAAATTAAGACTATCAGACATAATCTTAAACGAGATTTGCGAAAATTACGTAGGAAACGTCGCGACGAGCAGCAACCTCGTAAACCCGACATAATTGAACGGCATATCGACCCGAAATCTGACCTGTACGCACCGCAAATGCGTTTCGGCGAACATCCCCAAAGGCGGCACGAAATCTTGCAGAAGCGGTTCTTAAGCGAAAGCCACATTGAGCGTGAGTATATTCGATAGTAATTAGCATCAATCGCCGCTACTCAATTCATCGCAATTGTTAATTACAATTAGAACAAGAAGAAGACGCAACACTCAGTTGGTTACCAACTATCGAGGAACCGAAAGCGATTAAACATGGGCCCAAACCGATAGACATCTGTGTACGAGAAACCAGATGGACGGAGGAAAAACTGAAGCAACTACACTCCGACCTGAAGGCCATACGAATGAAAGTCAAATCCGTGGATGAGAGTCCAAGATTAGTGAGGCGTAATCACGAACTGCCGGCTTTGCCCGTCACACCGCGTAGATCGGGCACATGGGACAATAAGCAGAAACAACGGGAAGAGTCTGCTACGTTTATTCAGAAGCTTGTTAAAGGCAGAGCGATACAGTGTATGGTAAAGTACAGATCATTCGTCGTGCATTTTAAAATAGATATACAGAGCAAGATACTATAAAGTTATGTTTCTATCGCAGTAGAAATAGAGGAAAGATACAATTTCATATATTTTACAGATGTACAAAGGACGCGATAGATGCAGAGAGCTGATCGAGGAATTGGAATCGACTCAAGCGCCCGAGCAGGAAGATCATGATGATGAAAAGACACACATGATAAATTTGCGGCAACTACAGAACGATCAATCGGTACAGGAAGATCGTTTGTGTGAGATTCTCGATTCCTTAGAGGGGAAGACAGTCTGTGGGACGTTAGATTTTCTCAGCAAGGTAAGTTTTTGTAATCTTTTATCGAAACAGTTCGTTCGATTATCTCTCTCTCTTGTTATCTGCAGGAGTTAGTGAGATTAGAAGACGAACGTAGAGCTCACGCTTTTGCCTTGCTTGCCGAAAGAGAAAGATGTATGAGAGAGGCCGCCGAAGCTGGCAGGCGACAAGCGGAACGTAATCGACGACGTGAATTCGATGAAATGTTCAAGCAAATCGTGAAAGTAAATCAGGACTCTGTAGAAACTTACTTGGAGGACATTGTGAGGGATGAAATCGATTGGATATCTGATAAAGCGGCTAAAGAACGTATCTTAGAAGTTTGCGACAAAGTGGATGTTATATCGAAACATGCTACAGAAAAGTAAGAAAAATATACGCATTGATAATCAACAGGTATAAACAAATTATTTCATCAAAACAACGTGTAAAACACAGTTGTATTTTCGTAGCGCTGATAAGTTGGCAGATGAGGAATTGGTGGCGGATATGATCTACAATTTTGTTTTACCCGAAGTGGAAAAACACAACATGAGAGAAAAGATTCGCGATCAACAACAAAGTTATATGCGGCACGCATATACATTAATTTACGAGAAAATTTTAGATTTACCACCCGATGAACCATCGCAAGTCACAGATCAAGAAGTTTATGTAAAAAATGAAGATATGCAAGTAATTCGCGCGGCTACGGTAAAGATTGATGATTTGTTTATGTCATTTTTCGTGTAAAAATATTAATTTATTTTTCCAGGACCAAGATATCAAGACAGAAGAATTAGAACTCCCAATCCACGAAACAGATATTGAAGATAAAAAGCGAGCAGATTCAGAAATAGATTCAGAAACAGATTCACAAAACGATTCTTTAATGAAAGCTCAATAATATGTATCGGAAATCAAAGGCTACTTTGATCTGAAAACACTTTTTATATATGTTTTTTTATAATAAAACTTAATAATAGTTATAATAAAAGTTAAGTTTTGACCGAAAATATAGAAGTTGTCTATTTAAACTTTCAAAAATAATCGAATCTATTGTGCAAATTGATAAATATATGTATTAACATTGTAGTTCAATCAATATAATTCTGGTTGAATGTTTATAAAATCTACGTTAAATTTATATTACTCTATCATCATCAATACTATGTAATAAACTGTATCTTTACGTCAATAAATTAATAATGGATAAATTATTTTAGCTTATGTACATTGTCTTCCGATAAATATTTCTTTCAACTTAGATGTCTTTATAAAAGAATGAATTATATAAATTAGAGATAAAATGTCAATCCAAACTGTATGTTGATCAGTTTAATATGAATTACAGTCTTTTATACGTTAATGATTACATATAACTACATATAATAAAATCAATTATACACACGTTAAAGAACTTATATAACACTAAAAATAAAACCAATGTCTTTCAGTGTTTAAAGTAATTTGTTTCATTAAAATAATATTTTAATATCACTTTAATAAAACTACACATTAATGTACATTTTACTACGATAATATTCAAATATTTTAATGAAATGTACATTAATGTTATTGCAATATCCAGTTTATTGTCTCCTTACTCTTGTTCAATTTCTTAATAAATGCACGATAAAATAATCTTTTAACCAATTTACGCTGCATTTATATCTGAAAAAACATTTTTTTAAATATATATACATATCTGTACCTTAGAGGTAAAGGATCGCGTAGGTATGTCCATTTTCTTAACATTTCGATAAAACAAGGTTTAAAGTTTTAAATAGGAAAATGATATATATTTTTCTAGATGTACATAAGATAAAAGTATTAGTAACTTATAGTTTTTAATCAAGTATTTTAACTGACATGTTTAATAGTGCAACTGCCAATAACACGCTGTACCTGGTTTAAAAATTAAGCACTATAAAAATGTTTCATCCGACTTTTTCTGAACATTGTATTTTAGGAACAAGTAATAATAGACATAAAACGCTTTACTATTATATAATTTAAGCTCCTGTTATATTGAAAAGTGTATTAATTCCATTTTAACAAAAACTGGAGATACAATCCTTTACTTCTAAGATACAGATATACATACATATATGTATATATGTATATATACATACATACATACTTTAGACAAGAATCAAGTAAAGCACTATAAACCCAACTAAATACATTAGTTCATATAGTGTTATTTCTATAATAAGACAAAAAGCTTAATAAACTAAAAATATTAATTCTTACTTAAACTTACTTTTTCACAGATAATGTTTGAAAATAACCTTCATAAATTGAGTTAAAGGATCTCGCACGATTTATGTATAGAAAAACCGTTTTCGATCAATTTTTATGAATTTTTAATATGTATTTATAATTGTAGTACTTGTGTGCCTGATAAAAAGTTTCAAATTTCATTAACTTTCTGTAATTAGTTTCTGAGTTATAGGCATTTGAAAGTCGCGCTCACAAGATCGTCCGTACGTTTACCTACACGAATTTACATTTATATAGGAAATAACAGTTAATATAATAAAAGCACGAATGAAAACCGAAAATCTTTATAAAAGAAATGCAATATAGAATCAATTGAATGAAAATCATACACTTCATTTTCCTAGATTTCTGAGGTAATGTCATATTTTTTAACATACCCCTACTCTTTAGTTTTCTTTTTGCAAAAATATAACTCATTCGTGTTCAATAAATCGTACGGGATTCTTTTAGATGTATTAAGTGTATTTCACGATCATTATATCCATTTCGTTATAACAGTTGAAAAATGCATTATATAAAGAGTATATAATTCTGCAAAAATCTTCGTACTAGACCTCTTAAAATGTAAAAAGAGCCGAGTTAGCGCGGGCACGACGGTGGCTCAACGAAATAATTGTCTAACGTATTTTTTCCAAGTAAGTCCGACATAAATTTCTTAAACTTCATGTCCTGCGCATCGCTCGACGGTTTCCTCTCAACTATGAGTTTCCGTTTCTTAGCTTGCAATTCGTTCGTCTGTTGAAGCGTCTCGGTCTCGGTATTGATAATGTGCGCTTTCCGCTTGCGATTTTCTAACGAATCGGGATTCTGAGTGCCTTCCCGCGCTCGACTCACTTCAGTAGTCAAATCGACCATCTTCTGTTCCCACTCCTCGAGATGCTTCCGCATCTCGGCTAACTGCGTGTCCTGATCCTGTATCTTCTTTGCCTGCTTATATAATTTCATGGTTTGCTTCCGTACCAGATACTCTTGCCTCTGGATTCTGAACTTCATTCTACCCATTTGGTTTTTCATGGATACGAAGAACATCTTGTTCTTTTTCGTACGATCGTTAATCTTCTTAAAACTCTGGTTAAGCTTCTCTGAGCAGGTTATGTTATGATTGTTGCAATGCGGCAGTGAAGAGTTATTTATGTTTCTACCGTGGGAGATCATGACGCCACCAGGTAGGTCGTATGAATTCACAGTGCCGACCATGGACGTGCAGATGTTGTGCTTCAAATCCGGCAAGATCTTCTCGTCGAAATGCTCCATGGCCATGCTGCTTATATCCCGCAGCTCCTGAAGTATCTCGTGTGCCCTGGGCGGTGTCTTTGTCTCTCGAATTAATCGAAGAACACGAAAAATTTCATCGATTACCTGGGGTACATAGTTGCAACAAATTTATTATTCAACACGTTCCAACTTACATGAATAAGAGCTTAGCTCTTAAAAAAAAAAAATATATATATATATATATATATATGAGAAATCTTATGAATAATATAAGAGATGTTTGTAAATGAAGCTAAGAACAACGGTAACGTTGTCGCGTGAAGCAAAAATCCATTACCTTTCCTGGAATAAAGCAGCAAACGTTCAGGTCCACGTATTTGATAAAAGTCATTGATAACATAGAGATTCTCGTTTCTATCGCCGTCAAGATATCGCAGTGTCGCGCGAGAGGATGGCTGCGTCGCTCCGACTCTCGCCTCGGCAGCTTGCCTTTGACAGTCCGGAGGCATTGGGCGTGATATTTCTCCATGAGATTGAAGCCACGGTTGAGCAGCTTTTTGCAGATCCGATCGAACTGTCTGCAAACCTGACAAGCACATCGTGAGATCTACGCACTGTCGCAGCCGATAGAACGAGGGAGAATTCTTGCGAATGCCAAAGGGCGATCCTTACGATCCTATATTTAGATATCTCATCGTAGGAGAGGTTAGACAGGATCGCCTCCAAGCAAACGTCGGGGAGATTTATCAGCTGCAGTTGCGCGTTATCGTTCGTTTGACGCGCGGCAGGATCCGCAGGATCGTAAAACCGTCTCCGTTGCTCGTCAACCATATCAATTGACGTTCTTTTCCATTCCATGTGTGTAACGCGAGAGGCTTTCACTCCTCGTCCTCACGACTAAAACCAGACCGTATTGACGCGAATCAACTGCAGAGTGTAGGATGCAGAATGCAGAATGCAGATTGGCTCGTGCTCACACTGGTCTGTACTGCTCGAGTGCTCACACTGCTCACACTGCTCGCAGCTCAGTTGCTCACAGCCCACAGGCTTCGATGTCGATGACTTATGCTAGTCTACAATGCGAGTCGTAAAGTCGTGAGTCGTAAGAATTGACCAATCACAGTCGATTATTCTCCTCAAATTAGATTGTGATTGGTCAATTCTTACGACTCACGACTTTATGATTCGCATTGTAGACCTAGCATTATATGCGTTTTCTACTGGGAAAACTAGTGCAACACGGGGGGGTCTGTTTCTTTTAGCTGCACTGGTTGATAAATGCATTTTAGCATGTGCTAAAAAAGAAAGGATTATTTGTAGCGTCAAGTGGACCGCAGCCTATGGCTGCGGTCCACTTGACGCTACAAATGCTTTGAAGCATTCCCCTTCTCTTTTCTTTCAATGAAGAAAGAAGAAGAAGGACGCTCCAAAGAATTTGTATCATCAAATGGACCGCAGCCTATATGTATAATCTATTTTGATTGGTTAACTCGTGATGACGCGACGCGTGACGCGCTCAGTGGAAACTCAGCCTTGACTTGTGCACTCTATTCTTAAGTACGGTGTCCACGATGCAAGAACTGTGTCCAAGTTTCGATTTAAGCCAATCAACTTGCAGCTCTTACAGAAAAGTAGCAGTTTCATTGGCTTAAACCGAAACTTGGACACAGTTCTTGCATCGTGGACACCGGGCTTTATATCTCTATGCGTTTTGGTTGTACATACCAGAATCCTGTCGGTATGTGCACGTTTTTGTGGTTCTCTTCCATGTTATGTCCACTATTTTGTAGTAATGTCAACGATTTTGGGGTTCTCTTTTATATATATATATATATATGTTATGTTCACGATTTTTTTGGTTCTCTTCCGTTAGATTTACGATTTTTTGGTTTTATTTCCAAAGAGAATAAAAAAATCGTGTAGACATAGCACGGAAGAGAACCACAAAAACGTGCACATACCGACAGGATTCGGGTACAGCCAAAACTTTCTCTCTGTACGTACGTCTATATATATTCTTATGCCTATGGTGGTATAGCAGACGCGTCTGTTCCTTCTACTTGCACTTTCTGCGTTCAGATGCAGAAGGTGCTGGTCAAGTAAACAAACAAAAACTGCCGTAGCGAAAAAGGAAGCAGATGGAAAACTCCAAGTCTACGGTGTCCACATCAAGGTTCACGCGTTTACAGCTGGGCCAAACGGTCAGCTGTAAAACGGTTCCCGTGATCTGGTTCGGGGCTATTTTTGGAACATTGTTCTGAAGGAGGGTCAACATCAAGCCTCCGCCAGCCTCCGCCTGCGGACTCTTCGTGGTCGCGAACACGCGTGATATTTCCACGTGTGAAAGCGAGCTCCCGCTTTATATATTTACATACATGACATTACGTATATGACGACACGAAGCAGATGCGTAGGGTCTCGTCGGCGAAGAGGCGTATCGTCGCAGGTATTTCGTTCGCCGCTTAGCGAGGATGGCACTCGATCCGAAGGACATCGTGAAGCTGCTGGACATCCTCAAAGAGGAGAACCTGGACACCAGCTTGGAGAGCCTCTGCAATCAGCTGCATCAAACCTTCCCTAAGGAGCAGCGCTTCAAGGTCGGAACGATTCTTCTGCTGCACTTGCAGCAAGTCGACCTGCTGCCCAAGCACGTGCAACGTGTCGTGGCGTTGACGTTGCTGTTCGACCTGTACCGCGGCGAGCCGTTGGCTTCCACGCCTTTCGCCTCTGTATTCGTACAGGTGCTCAAGTCGCAGGAGGACACCAACAACGGTAGCTCGAAACCAACCGGCCACACCGGTCACATACCGTTTCTGTCGAATTGTGAGAGGAACCTGCTCGTCAGTTTGATGGGATACAATCAGAAGGACGTAATGAAGAAGACGCCGCGCCAGATCGTGGACGAGTTCTCGTTCGCCGCCGTGCCGTCCATCGATCTGACCAACTTGCAGCTGCAGCTGGCGGAACACCAGTCCGAGCTGCCGTCCGTAAGTAAATGCGGAAATCCTATAATCCTGCCCGACATGGATCACTCCAAAGGGACGGAATACGACGTGGCGTCTGTGCAGAGTATCCTGGAGAACCTAACCATCGGCGATCCGCCCCTGTGCAGTCAGAGCTATCATCCTGAGTTCCTGAGACTCGTGCCGCCGATTTATCACGGCATCAACGAGATAGCCTGGTTCCACGTCACGGAGCCGACTCAGTTCACGATCGAGTACGACACCAGTATGTGCGTGTCGAACTGCGCCAGCGCCGAGGCACGTAAACTCATGGGCAAAGCCTTCAAGAACGTATTAACGCTGACGCAGCAGCAATATTTGATCAGCGAATTGGACAAGGATCCGAAGCTCGTTTATCACATCGGACTCACGCCCCCCAAGTTACCGGACCTGGTTGAGAATAATCCTTTAATCGCCATTGAGGTTTTACTGAAGCTAATGCAATCCAGCCAGATCACGGAATACTTCAGTGTGCTGGTGAACATGGAGATGTCCCTACACTCCATGGAGGTCGTCAACAGATTGACCACCACGGTGGACCTGCCGACGGAATTTGTACATTTGTATATCAGCAATTGTATATCCACTTGCGAGACCATCAAGGACCGTTACATGCAAAATCGACTGGTACGACTTGTCTGTGTGTTTCTGCAGTCCTTGATAAGGAACAAGATCATAAACGTGCAAGAATTGTTTATCGAGATCCAAGCGTTCTGTGTTGAATTCAGCCGCATCAGGGAGGCAGCCGCATTATTTCGGCTCCTAAAGCAACTCGAGTCCGGTGATACCGGTGGGCTTAACGCTCCACCTACGAGAAGTAGGACAGATATGTGTTAAAATGCGCCTGTCTGGAGCATTTATGTAAAAAGGTATAATTAATCGATTAGGTAATTGAATTGAATAAGAAACCATGATTTCTCTGAGTATCCTAAAATCGCATTCTCTATACACCTAATTAGATAAAACGGCACATTGTAAGATTATGTTATATTATTAAGTTTTTATAAGCAGAAAAGTTTTCAAATTGATCATGTATTTAAAAAACAATCTCGCGCAAAAAGACACGTTATTCGACGTGTCTTTTTGCACGAGATGGTTTAAAGAAAATCTTGGAAAAAACAAAAATTTATATTATTTTAATGTTGTATGTAGGAGTGAATATAAGTTTGTTATAAATATGTAGGTATGCATACAGGGTGAATCACTAAAGGTGTTACAGGCTATATTGCTGAAACTGAACGAGATGTGCAATTCTTATTTTTCAGACTATTTGGCATCGAAGCGGACGAGGAAAATTAATTTCATCACGCAATGCCCGCTTTGATACCGAACATCGACCAAACGTCGCTGGAAAATAACAATTGTACATCTCGTTCAGTTTCAGCAATATTAGCCTGTGACTATAGTGATCCACCCTGTATATGAAGCATTGAGAATATAATATATTTACATGAAATACTTCTAAATCTAGAATTTGACATACGATGTTTTTCTATATCGGTGACATTCCATAAGACGTTCTATCGTGTAATAAAAAAATGCCTTGCAATATATGTAAATAACGAATTTATAATTGTAAAATTTTTATACATTTTTATCTATTGTACTCCAGACTTCAAGTATAAAAGAAATGATTTACAATAATAAATATCGTAAGTAATACAATTTCGCTTCCTGTTCTACATGACAGACATATATATATATATATATATATATATATATATATA